TTTTCTGAGCTACAAGGAAACGTCAGTGTAAAACTATACTGTAATAACCGTTTCTGACGTTGGATGCAAATGACATCCGCACAATGCATTAAGTATATGTGTTTTTTTTTTAAAAAACATACATAAAACAGGAAAACTCACTGGCCAAATTCACAGTGGTGCGTTTGATTGAAGCAAACTTAACACCTCTAACTTGTTTTTCCCTTCAAACCATACCGTTTTTGCTTTTTGGCATTATCCTGCTGAAAGAGGTCACGGCCATCACAGAATACTTTTTGCATTAAAGAGTGTAAATAGTCTGCAACAACGCTTAGGTAGGTGGTACATGTCAAAGTAACATCCATGGATGGCAGAGTTTTTATAGTCCCAGTTAACGAAAATCAAAGAAGCTGCCAGACAAGACAGGCAAAAAAAAATGACATTAAAAAATTTCATTTAGATTTTGCCCACATTAGTCTACAAATGTCAAACGGAGAGTGAGATGCTTTTCTTTACATGCAGAACATTTTCTTTATCTTTAACAACAAATCAACTCTTTTATCTGCCTGCAACTATATAATGTAAGATCACCATCATGGTCCAGGAAAGATATGAGACTACACAGTGGGCAAAGATGTACAAGCGTCATCAAACCCAACACTTCAGACCTTGAATAAAACTTGATATTCTACACCTTGTTAAATGTAAATAGGCATGTGTTTAGTCTTAGTTTTTGCCTTTTTTTTTTTTTTGAATAATCAGAGGCATTACATGTTGCAAATAACCAGTCCACCATTGCAAATGTCATTTCCACTAAGTGTATCCCTCGTTACTACAGCATACTAAATAAACTACTACATCCATGGTGGAAGCAGTCTGTTTCTGGCAGTCTGTTTGTGTAATTAGAGAGCGTGAATCAATTACAGTCTTTAAGTCCATTTTAACCTTTAAATGCTGGCTATCTTTGAGATCAGAACCCTCGTACTAAGGTGCATTTTGCTTTAAGATGTACAGTGAACCTTGACTTAATGACTCTTTACTGCCAGTGTCTCTTATTTCAGGTGGGACGGACTAAGACACAAGAGGAAGTTAACAGATGTATGCAATGATACAGTTAAAACAAAGGAATTGTCTAAAAGCATTGAAAGTGCTCAGCACATTGAATTGTCTTCTAAGGACTTTTAAGGATCCCAGATTTCCCACTGATAGAAAACAAAACAAGACAGTAGGGATGCACCGATACCACTTTTTTGGAAACGAGTACGAGTACGAGTA